TGCACTCACAGAATTATTGCCTTTAATTTCTCGATTTGGGACGTCTTCAGCCAATGGCCTGGTGTTTGGGTCATCATCCCTCTCCTATACTCGCCTCACAGCACCACCTGCTATCCAGGGTACAGTGTCGGAATGGGTGCGCAATGTTATCGTGTGGCCCCTCCCTAGGCTTTCTCCTTTCACCCTTCACAATCTAACTACCACAACCAACTACTTCCAGGTCCCTCGAATTTCCAAAGTTTAGTTTTTCCCCGGAAATTCCATGATGGGATGTCGACTCGGGATACAGGAAAGTCGTCATGGAAAAATTAGAAATTCAGGGAATGCCATGGACCAATACCAGGGAATACTAATAACAAAACGTCTCCTGAAAAATTCCCCTTTGCGGCTCAAGTAAACTTCTCAAGCCGAACACAACCGCAAACCCTTTCTCGTAGGGACTTGTCCAACGACTATGTACCCTGCTCAGTGCCCGTCTCCAGTGGAAGAGCATTCTGCATATACAGATCAGTCACACTGTTCTCGTCTCTTACATGAACACACTCCCATCAGCGTTTCGGTACCCCCCCCCCCCAGCATCAGTATAGGTTGCAGCTCAAATACCTTCCTCCGTGCAGAGAAGCTTACGATCCTAGCGATTTATCGAGGTTAGAGCCAGTGGAACACGCCTTTCAGTTCCAATGCAAATCCTCGATCTATCCGATGTCTACCGTGCCAGCATAAGGGTCGAGGATGACTGTCTTCCCTCCTTCTTGTTCTTGTTCTTGTTCTTGTTCTTGTTCTTGTTCTTGTTCTTGTTCTTGTTCTTGTTCTTGTTCTTGTTCTTGTTCTTGTTCTTGTTCTTGTTCTTGTTCTTCGCTTCCTCATCCAGATGAGAAGGTCACAGCGGGACACTTCACCGGAACTTCCTTCCTATTTTCTAGCGCATAGTGGACCCATAACAGTTTTCTACGATTTGTTACCCGAACCCCTCCCGGTAAAATACCAAACGGGCAAAAACGAGCAGGAAAGAGGTTTTCATTTGTTTTCAGGTTCCCACCCGGGTAAGCATTTCCTACCAGAGGGTCCCGTTGACCCTTGGATCCCTGCCAACTCGTGGCTCTCTTCTACACAGTTTAGACAAGATTTGTGTACTTCATTATTATGATTTCATGATTCCTTCATTTTGAGAGAGGTGAACGGATCCATCTTGTCTATCGTGGCTACGTCTGTTTTAGAAAGAATAGAAGAATAGAAAAAGAAGCCTCTGTTCCAGTTTATCCTTGATCGATGGCTGAAATGGAATAGGATCAGCAGTAGCAGTGATTATTGCAGCCGTCCCTTTTCTCAAAGACATCAATTGCTCTGAAGAATACTTCTCAACCATCCAAGGTCCCCTCCCAAAGACGGCTGACTCGGGCCGTTCCTCCATTGCAATCCTTCTACCCTTATCGACGGACCGGTTCAGATGTGGTGTATTCATTGGATCCTCGACAGTCATGTTCCAAATCCGTCACTGACCGCATTATGTTCCTCCGTTCAACCATTTTATTCCGTTATCTGTTTAGGTTTGATTTTCGTAATTTAGATTCCCGACAATCGGCTAAACTGCTAATTTTGCTTGTTTCAAAAAATATTCACAGTAGATGATGATATTTTGCCGTTTTGTCGCTACTAGAGTAAGAAAACTGCTGTGTATTTGAAGAGTTAAAACTATCATGCTGCTCACTCTTAGCATGGCGCTATTCCGATTCCAAGAATTTTCGTACCATTAACTGCTGTGTCTGTGAGTTAGAAAAAATCCGTTTACTAAATTATCATTTGCTGTAGGCACTCAAAAACCTGCCCTCAACGCGACGTTTGGCTCATCATTCAAAGGGAGGAAAGAAAAGAAGGAGCAGGAAAGAAAGAAGGAAGTGAGGCAAAAGAAATAGGGGGAAAGAAGGAAGTTTTGAACGACAGATATCCTGAAACTGTATTACGCTCTTCCGAGCATTTGGACTGCATTGAAGCTGGGGGTACCACATCTAGGGAGGCAAAATGACTTATAATAGTAATATACCTTTTCTCACTTCACTCGCTCATGAAAGTTAAGTTTTAGACGTTGATAGTGTCCTTTTTAGTGTACGCCACGCAATCTTCTTCTGATTGAGATCATGGTGCTTTTTGAAGACGGTCAGACCCATACACTGGCTTACGAGGGCACTACTAATCACTGTTTTTATGTGCTCCCGGGCGACGATACCTATTCTAAAAAAGCCTTGTTTAGGGAGTACATTCAGGTCAAGGCATTTTTCTTAACTCGAGGGCCACCCAGTACTCACAGATTTTTTTTCTATGGACCTGAAGCCTTCCGAGCTGTAGCAGACGATTAGAAACATTTTGGCGAAACTCAGGCATCAAGTGCCCAGTAGAGCTTTGCATCAGTAAGAGGACTCTAAAGAAATCTCGGAAGGCTACAGGTTTATAGAATAGTATACTACGCCTATATGCCGAGGTTAAATGAAAGCTAATCGCGGGAAACTTACAGATTCATTTGTGATCTCCTCTTCACACTTCTTGCCGTCAGGAATGTGTTTTGAACTTTCCATCTGTTTTTTTTCAATTTTTTTTGCCATTTAGTCACTCGTTCTACTGCTGATAGAACTTCATAGAACACTATTACCATTATCATCAGACGGACTATCAAAGAAAAAAGATATTTGCAGTAGACAATGCCTTGACTCTAAGATGTTGGCCCTACAATTGTCCTGCATTGGCGCGTCATACAAGTATGTGTTGAAGAAGGGCCGCCAACAGCATCCTTGATTTGGGCAGCCTATTCCTTCAACGCAAATGGCATTGTGACTCTGGTGACCTGTAATCCTCCTCAATTCATGTTAGGCACTCCGCAACCCTTCATGCGAAAGGAGCTGTCTAGCCTTTATCCAAGAGGAGCTGCTACCTAGACAACAACATAGTACCAGATTCGTATGTGAGGATAATTATACTGGGCTTGAATCTCTAGCTTCCCCTTCGAGCAACCTCATAGTTACCTGCAATTTGGTTTTTCATGTTTTGGGTGCTTCACAAGCTTAATTGGAGGAGCTCTGCTTCTCACATTCCTCCTCGAGGTTCCCAGCAAGGCGTCAAACCGCTGAAGGAGATGAGGCGTTTGGTGGAGTAGAAAACAAATTTATACATCGAGCAGCTCCTAGGTCTTCGAAAATGACAATTTAACCGAAAGGTTAGGGCATTTCAATCAACAGTCCTCCTATCAATCACTTAAGGTACACAAAATCTAGTACAAGTTGCTGCTGGGCTTGATTAGCACTAGCTTTCGTGAGAAGAGCAGATAGTCGCGCTGTTCAAAAAGGCAGCGTCAATACTCCCCTCCTTTTCCTCGAAAAAGAGGCTCGGTGCGATCCTCAAACGTGGAGGAATAGCGTTCTGAGCGATCAGCTTTTAAGCCGCGCGAGTTGACTGAATCATACGCCGGACAGCCTTGCTTACGACCTCCTGAATGCGACTTCAACAGCGATGACATGCGTTGCTTGTGATTCATCGCCTCTACTACAGAAATTAATCGGTCTGCGAGTTACCATGCATGGCGTATCCCGAAGAGATTGACCAACTGTTACCATTAGCACAGTAAAAGGGTTCGTTATAGGTCGCTGACAGGACACGTTCCGCCTATGGGGGAAAATTTCGCGAAATACGGCCCCCAAATTCCCTTCTTTCTCCTCTGGTATGACCCCTTTCTTCCCTAACTCCCATCCTACCCACCATCTCCACTTTCGTTGATTCTTCCAATTTCCTACCTCTTTCCGGTGGAGTCCATAGCGCACTCGAAATAGGAAAAACCTAGAAAAGTCGATAACTGGAAACATTTTCTCAAAGGCAGATACGATGCCCTACCTCCAGCGACCTTATATGACCCCCCCCCTCGTCACAGGAGATCGCCAATGTAAAACGTGCCATAGTATATAGCTACGAGGGCCCTTTAAAGTATTCTCGTTACGGGGGTAGTTTACCAGTAACGAAGGCATTGAAATCATTTCAGTAGGTAACGACACTCGCTAAGGGTACAAATACAAAATTTCATTTAGTTATCATCAATGCTGTTCTAGTTATCTTTAGTGAAAGAAGACCAGAATGGCTGATGCGACAATGTTGACGACATAATTACTGATTATAAAAATTGAGAAATGAAAAGAATTTTGGGGAAAAAGAAGAGAAAATTGAGGAAATGATCAGTGATTTTTTTCCTGTCCCCCAACTCAAAAAAGATTTTGGAGGAGAGCGTTTTTTTGACGATGGAGAGCTGAAGGTGGCAACCAGCGCTTATTTTTGAGATATAAAAAAAGAAATAAAAAATAATTAAAATTTTGAGGTTTTTGAAAAGTTAGTTACCCTTGGGAACAAATGTATTGAGGGTATGGGGGGAGACTCCATTAAAAAAATCATTCAGAGTTTCCTGCCTTCACCTTCATAGCTATACCGAGAATACATATATTGAACGTTCCCCGTTACAAGGTAGCTACATTCTGATTGTGCTGATTGTTAGAGTTAGAGGTGTCAAAGCAAACTCTTTTTCTCCAGATCTTCTAAAATAGCGACATATATTCAAGGAGAGTCCACCGCTTCGGCTTATAAGTTCTTGATGTCGATAGATGTTGGAAAAACGCGGGGGGAGGGAGAAAGGGCCGATAGTCGCCGCTAATCCATGAAGGCTAGCCGCCCTATCATTGTCTTCGTATCGTGTCAAACACCGTTTATGCTTCTCATTCCTGGTCGATCTTTCGAAACGATAGCGATAATCTCCAGATTTCATCGTACGGCCTGTCAGCCATTACTCTTCCGGGTTTTCTTTTTGATTTCGCTCTCCACCTTTTGATCCGTTGCCTAGTTATAAAACAACTTTGTGGGTTACAAAGCCTTTCCCTTTATGTTCGTTTATATTACGAAATGTATACCATTTAGCCGCATTCTGTACATTTGTACTGCCTTATTGCAGCAATCAATACGTATCTTTATAGGAGATGTGGTTTCTGCTTCTATTGCCCATCTTCGTCTTGGGGCAGAAACCACCTCCTGTGGACCCGAATGCAATGGCTCAAAACGTCGACAATATACGTAGATGTATGTAACTCATGGATTTTTATTAGCTCCCTCATTACGGACGATTGAGCTAATTTTCCTAATTTTATAAAAAATGTGTAGTATTTCAGTATACGGCATTGCCACAAGAATAATGGAAATGGGAGGCGCGTTCATGGGCCAAAACTCAGGCACTGGAAGCGCTACCGCTGCATGGGATGATTTACGTCCACGACCTCAATGTCTGTTATCGTATGCTCTTTGATATTTCTGAGTACTGCCTTCAAAACTTCGGAAACTTTTTTTCGGATTTTTTTTGGAGTTGATAGCGTAAAGCCCAGAGATACAAAGATGATTGAGGAAGATCGTATACAGAATCTGAGTTATAATAACCGGGGGATGGGAACTTGTCTGAACCTCGACGAAAACGAGCTCCAGAGTGGTTGAGACGTTTTCTCGGACCAGATCCCTTCCGAATTACGGTGCTCCCAGTTCTACACAGAGAATCCTTCCGAAGCTGGGCACTTCGGTACGATGAGACTTGCTAGAGGGTCGTACTTGGTCGTGTGAGGAAGGCGGGGGGGGGGAGGGGAGCCGTCGAGCAAGATGTGTCAGTTTCCTCTCTTTTCTCGGTTTTCTCGCATCTCACTTCTATACCTTCTCCCCACACGGCAGCTTTTTTTTCGAAAAACTGGAGACGTTCCGAAGAGAACTCAGGAAAAAAGGCAGGAATTTCGGGGAATTTAGCAAGATGATTGGCAGTATTCTACACGCAGAAGGAGGGTCGCCCACCTACCATCTCCACCTTCGTTGAATATCCCAAGTTCTCGTCAGTTTTTCGTGTCCAGGGTAAGGGGGTCGTACCAAAGCAGTGAATTCTGAAATGCGGGCTCGCATTTGCAAAATTTTGCACAGCGGCAGGACGTGCACTGTCAAAGTCTCTTCCTACTTCAAGCGGAACAGCTCTCCCCAAAACTGCATAAGCAAGCAGTAATTTTCACGAAAAATGAAAATAAAAGAAGTAGGAGGCATGGCTCTTCACTTTATATCGATTGATAGCCTCTGATCTTCGCATCTTCACATCGATGCATTTTGACGTACGCCTGATTGTTTTTTTTTACAATGGGAAAGGACAAATCTAAGCAGGTAGCAATAAATATAAATAAATAAGTAAGTATATAGATATACAAGCATACTTGTTGAGGTTGTGCGATGGAAATCAATAATTGGTTGTTTTCAGCCTCCGGTGTGCGGAATTTCGAGTCGGACAATTCAGTTACCGCTGGTGGAGATGGTCAGTCGGAGTTTTCACGATTTCGAGAAGATTTCGGTCTATTGGGATTCTTATCCACTGCACCACCAACCACAACTCCCAAGCCGTTTCAATCCGGCATTCAAGGGCTTCTGAATACATTTTTCGGTAAGAACACTTCACAATTGACGTGATTTATCTTCGTGTTAAAGCGCTATGTACGGACATTCACGTTTATCCGCTTATTTTTTGAAGATATCCAGTTTTCTGAAGTGTTTCACAAGGAACATACCGCAAAACATGGACAGGGACAGGCTTATGGGGCTACATATGTCATGTTCAGCATGTGTACAGCACTCTTGAAATCATTTGTCTTTCTGAAAAACACACCTTGATACAGACAATCAGAAACGGGAAAATTGTTCCGCTATCTGTGAAGAAATGCGGGCGCTGGTGGAGTGGATCATTGTGGGCTAATCCAGTTTCCATTAGAATGGAATCAAACGAGTTTATTACATCATTGACTGATCAGAGCCTGGGGTATCAGCCTTGTATGCAAAGCTGCAAATGAACGGGAACAGAAGCTTCACTAGCCATGGAAATGCTAAAAAAATGGAAAAATTTGAAAGGAACTTTTCGAAATGATCACCAGTTATGAGTTTGGACTAAACTGCAGGGTTCAACTAGGTTTCGACTCTTCCAGAACCCTGTAAATTAAGCATTTTCCGGCAGCAATAGCACATGTGCTCGATCCTGTGGCCCCTTAGAGGTCGCTAGCTCCTGAAGCTCCTGTAGAACTGACTGGAAGTTTTTACTGAAGGACATTCTTCGGTGGCGTGAAATCGATAAAAGTTTTACCTATTAATTTTGAGGCACATCGAAAAACCAACACAAATTACAACCAACTATGCCGTTGCTGCAAGTATAAAAGGAATTACAAAATAACAAACTTATTCTTTCTCTTAACTCAACAATATTTCTGAGAATACTTTAAGTTTTACGCTTACTCTCGAACGCGTTTGGCTGTTCGAACCACGATAGCGCAGTTGTTTTCTTGGTGGTTTGATGTTGCAAATGTAGCACTCTATTTCTGCACACATATTTCTACAAACTCCTCCCTTCCCTCTTGAGGAGCATAAAAAGCGATAGAGATTTTGCTTGGTTACCGTCTAAGGGCGCGGGCGAAGCGGAACTGAGCTACTTCCCTGAAAAAAATCCTGCCTCTAAAAATTCCCTGAAAAGAGACTTAAAAGAAGGTATATTTACGATATAATCCAGAACTTTTGCATGTAATTGTGCAGCCCATATTCTATGTTGATCTGGCTTGAAAACGGTCCCTCCCTCCCCTAAATCACGTGCTCATCTTGCTGAAGGGTAAAAAACGACATGCGGGCTAATTAATCGCATTTTCTGTAAGGGTCGCATTTGTCTCAGAAATGTGCCACTTTTTCTCAGAGCAAGCATTTTTCTGATTTTGAAGTTTTTCAAAATAATAAAGGTCAATTGCTTTACTTTGGATCATTTTTTCTTTTCATTTTTATTCAAAGCTTTGTCAAGTATAACACGTCAAGATCCACTGTGACTTCCTTTTAGCGCTTCTGATGAATCTCTGTATTTTTACAATTTCACATAGCCCTTTTTCCATATTTGAGACGACCGGTAAGGAAAGGTTCAAAGGATTGAAGCCTGAATCAACTATACTTTTTTTTCATAAAGAAGAAAATGGTGCTCACATGTCAGCGAAATAGTCCGAGTTTCGATTAGATCAATAATATGCAACCAAATAATGGCAAAATTTTCCCGATAGCTAGCAAATTCAGCTATCGACGTGCAGTTGAATTCCTCGCTTAATATTGAGGAAAAAAGAAGAAGAAAATGAAGAAAAAGTTGTGAAATTAGTAGTCTGCATGCTCTTCACAGAAGGACAACGCTTATTTGGCCTTGAATTTTCCCCCTTTTTTTCCTCTTGAATGCGCCACGCATTTATCATTCGGAATCGTTATGGCATTTTATTTCACCCGCATTCTGCAGGGTACTATACTACGTGACATTATTTTTGTTTTGGCATACTTTCTTTTCAATTTTTTCTGCATTTGGTGAGTTCGGATGGTAGGATATGGTTCTTGGGCCAAGTCTGCAGAGCTTCACCACCTGTTGTGATCCTCCTCCACATTGATACAGTAATAAGTGGTACAGAAGTAATTATATACCAACAGGAACGGATGTTAGCTTTGTGAGGGGATCACCGATCTCATTAGCGGTGAACAAAGCCAGTCACCACGCTCGCTAGTGCCAGTCTCACCAAAAACTGCGCTTTGCCTTATACATCGTGCTCATCACCAAGCAAAACCGCAGTTCAAGGCTGTTCTGTGGTCATCCAGCGTTCCGAGATCGACTAGTATTAACAGCGTTCTTTTCTGTAACTGGTATCAACACCTTGACAACCGCGTTCGATCTCGCTTGTAGATGTGGCGCATGGGTCTGAACGTTTTCCTGGGAATGAGCTTGAATGTGAGAGAAATCAATAACTTGAAATGTTTTGCAACACCAGCATTCTTTAATCGTCTATTCGTGATATAGAAGTCAGTTGTGAAGTTCCTCTCGAGTGTTTGAAGTCCAGCTATCAGCGGTAATTAGAGCCTGTGGTAGGACGTAATGTCCTGGGCTAACATAGGACCAAAGACCGTCATCTTGCCATGCAGTCTTGAGGCTTAAAATTGGCCCGAGCGTGTCCAGTAAAGCTCGAATGACAGTCGTCACTGTATCGGCGCCAGGAGCTGCCAATTTCTTGGTTTCGAGGATTACTTACTCCGACTTCAGTTTACCAGTCTACTCTACTGGGTGAACAATCCTGCTCTCAGATAACACACTGCATCCCACAAACTGGTTACGGGCTAGGATGAGATAGCTACAGGACATACCTCCATGGCAGATCTTCATTGGTGCGCCGAAAAAGTGGATTTTTCCCATTTGACAAATGCTTCCTTGAATTGAAGGTTTGCTCAATTTTAGAGCTTACACAGCTTATGAGGTTCGTTCTTTCCTGCCTTATCCGGGCTTTGCAATTCCAGTCAGCATTGGAAAAAAATTCTAGTGGGTCGTTTGCACATGTTGTCCCCGTTCAGCGGCGGAGGTGATGTGGTGGAAAGGGGCAAGCTTATCACGCGCGCGGGCCATAGGTCAAACCCCAGACCGGCTCCCGCAGAGGATAAGCAAGGCTCCCAACCTCCGGGGACGGCAAATTGGTACCAGATTCCTCTGCGAGGATAAAAACACGGACTTGTGTTTTGGCTGGCCCCGCAGGTCACTGTATAGGCCACGTCGCATTCAGTAACCCACTAAGATTCTGAATGGAAGTTGAATGCGTGCCGCATCCCAGAGATTGATCAACGGCCAGGGCTTTATCTTTTCCATCATTTACCTCAGTGGACACTTCCATAGGTTGCCGAAAAATATGGATTCTGCCCACTTCAATGAGATTTCCTTGAACTAAAAAACTTACTCGATTTGAAATATCTGCCAATTTTTTAGCTCTGGTCTTTTCACCTGCAATCAGCCCTTAAACTGGCAGTCATTCTGAGGAAATACTCCAGTTCTTAATCTGCCTATGTTTCACCGTTCATTATGTGATTTGCCTTAGAGCTCAGGCTTTCACAAATCAACTCTCTTTTGATACCCAATTCCTTTCCGTTTGGCCTTGTCGTGGCCATAAGGGTCAAGTAATGCACAACTTTCTATGGATCTCTCACCCTCTGTCAACGGAACTTCCTGACGAAATCTAGGCGGAACTGGATGTGTGTTTCACTGTGACTCGATAATTAGAACACGTTCTTATCTTCATCGGTAATCTATGCTCAATCGCTTATAACATCGTACGTTCTTTTCAGTACATTCGAAATAGATGTAACACTTTTAGCGACGGATCTGTCTGACGGAACATTTTACGGTAGCCTGGATTCGATAGATCATATTCGGATATGTCGTGGGAGGTTGAGGGATGGAGATATGTCTGGTCCTGCAGTTACTGCAAAAGCAGCTTAGGAGCAATGTATAGGCGCAATCATTCCCACCTCCTAATGTCCCATTCGGTATTTGTCTTTGTGTGTCTGCGCTCTAGCCCCTGTAGCAGGTAAGCAACGCACAGCTTTTACGCCACCTCAAGACGATGTGGACATTATGGCACGCCCAACGCTTGAATTCTTAGTTAGCGTTCAGACTTCGCGGCGGCCGCGCTTCGGTCGCGCATTCAACGCGATCGATGTGGTTGAAAGCATGCGCATCAATCGCTGCCGTCGCGAACTCTGAACGCTGCCTTAGCTGGATAAGGGGAGGCGACATAAGTAAAGCCAAGAAACTAGAAGAGCGTTGGGATGGGGGAGGGGGCACGCAGCCGCCAACACTTACTTTCGTTCATGGACCATATCTACTTCTCCACTCTGTTCCAATGAATGCGCTTCAAGTATTGGTTGAAGCTTACGCCTATGAATAATATAGCTATTTGATCACAACAGCCGTGTTCGCTGCGATGCCTATTTTCAACCAACTATTGTCGCTTGCACGCTTCAGCTATTGGTGGAGATTGGATTGGCGCTATTCCAAACCCGCCCCCTGACACGCACCAGCGTTCTCAGCAAACACAGGCTGCGTATGCCTTTGCTCCTTCCGCTCTCTGGCCTTATCCAGGGAGGTTAACTTCCGAGGAGTCGCCCTCCATTATCAGTTGGCTCACCGTTGTGAGAAATGCAGTGTGAAGGGTGGGGGGGGGGTAATTTTGCCAGTCCAGAATGTTCTCAATGTTTTTTCCTTGGAGAGGGGGTTGTTTGCAAAAAGTTCCAAAAGTGATCGCGTGCCTTGTTTACAATATGAGAGGATTTGATTTCGTGAGGTGATGAGAAGTAATAATGGATAATACACCCATACACCCTTGAAAACTCTTCCTTTCGGAGTTGACGCTCTTTGAACAGCGGTTCTAGTGCCAGAAAGAGTTCTAGCACATAAACACCAGCCTTAGTGATAGCTTCTAGTGAAAAAAGGACCAGTACTTCAGATGTAGCTCGTTGTTCTCGAGTAGCTTTTTGAAATAGTAAGAGTACTATTTTAAAAAATCTGCTTTTTCTTATACATTTAGAAGAGGATGGAAATAATCAAGTTAGATAAAGTACTAACAACTGAGAGGCTGAGCAGAGAGAATCGT